GTATCAACTGGGAGTATTTGTCCAATCGAGGGGGAGAGTGAAGGACAAGACGTCGATGGGGGCCAGTTGAACTGAGCCTTGAAATGTTCAGCCCAACGGTCAAGACGGTGTTGCCGATCGTGAATCAGTGTGCTATTGCATTTCTTAATCACCTCACGCCTATTTTCCTAATTAAATGGAAAAGGTTATGACTATTACCAATGGCCGCAGCTTTCTCCATCTGTTTACACTTTTCTACCCACCACCTCTCGCGGTCATTCCTCAGACTCAGACCATTTTTCAGTACAGATTATTCAGTAATGAACAGCAGCCGGGGTAAGCCCGACAATCAAGATAAGACCAAGCGTTCACGCACGGGTACGGACAGCCCAAGTCCCGAGACTTGGAGTGTTGAACCACATGAGCCCCCCCACCATGTGCGTTATACTGAGCCAGACGACAGTAAAGCTGTCAAACGCACCAACACTGGCTATCTGTAGCGGAGTTTGAACATGGTAGCGAAGTAAGTTGTTGGAACAAAAAGAAACACCCGTATATTTCTCGGGTCCTTTTAATCACGGACTGAATTAGGTAGTGTGCCTGGTACGGGGCGTAAGATAGTCAGTTTACCCCCGTCTCAGTCCCCATTCCTCAATAAAGCGAACTAAACCCAGTTGTGATCTAAAATTTTGTGCCACTGAAAACACCCAACGTACAGGAACGTTTGCTTGATTGAATGTCTCGCGAAGTGACTAAAAATGCCGGGTTCTAATTACCGAAACGCGACACGGTAAATTGGACTCTTCGGTCGATTGTGCTTTCGTCAGTGATGCAATTCTATCCGCCTCCACAGGTAACTGAATCGCGGTTATCACATCAAACTTTCTGCTATTTAATACATTCAGCAGTCAGTAGGCAATTGTCAAACTGTCACAGTTCTTTTTCCTGAACCTACCCGATATACAACTACAAGGTGCACCAAGAGGCAGCTGAAGGTGAATATATCAGGCTGTAAACCACAAGTGACGTAAAATTAGTCTCAACGACTGAATGTACATACCGAAATGCAAGTGCCCTGCTCACTGTGTTTCCCAATACTGACAAGATCAAGAAGATGCGCGATGAATACAGCAAACTATTCACAAAAACAATGTAGACTGATTTTCCTGGCACCTCTAGGTGGAAAAATACAATAAAATAAGCATCATCTTTAGCCTTTTGGTACTTTTTAATCAAAAAACTACTCAACATCATCCTATCATTGTGACAAGTGGTAGTTTTTATTACACAGAAATGAGCACTTAAATCAATAATATGTGATTTTGGTAATGTCCAGAAATTTCTGTTTTTTTAATT